GTCAGCATGGACAGCTTTTGTGCGGCACTGCCCCGCCCTTCTTGTTAAACCTCCTCTGCCTTGCACAGTCTATCCTGAACCAGTTCGGCTCGGTGTTGGACAGCATGTCTCTTGGAGTCTTATGTTGATTTGGATCCAGTAGCAGCGTATCCTGTAGTGGAGACTGATACTCCTCGTGGCTTGGTCCGACATGTCAAGCTCTGCACGTACAGATTGCAAAAGTGGCTCCGAAGACGAATCCCAGGTTATCTCTCTACATGGCCGTGACAGGTGGAAATGACTGGGTGGAATACTATGAGACCGCCCTCTGGCAAGCTATCAGGGCACGGAAGCATTGGTCATGAAACATGCGCCAGCTGTGAGGGCTCTTGTTCCCGCGACTGTCATCGGGCATACCCTCAGCTAGATAATCTAGTCCAGGCGGTGAACTTGATGCCGCCAGCTCTGAGGTTCGACAATGTGGTCCTTTCTACGACGTTTTGTTCTTGCTCTATACTTTCTTCTTTGTGCGGCTTGGCCTGAATGTGGCTTCTGGAATGTGATGATGTTGAGAATCTCGTGGACATCTCCATCTAGCCCGGCCAGTCAAGATCCCCTTATACATTTGCAATATATTGCCATTCCTCGTCATACATCTGGCAGCCGGTTGACCTTTTAGGGGCAAGCCAGTGGGGCTCACGTATGGAGACCAGCACACCGGCAACTGCAGGGATGTTCACGTGTGATGTGGCATAGCAGTGTCTGCAAGGAAATGGCTGTAGTCCCAACTATTGTTCGAGAATCTCACGCCACGATGGCTCCAAGCACTGTAGGTTTGCACTGTTCAACATCATGACGGGTGTCTTCGTTGAGCGGGCGCTGACCGCTGCCATTCCTGATAGCTGGGCTCCAAGTGCGATGTTGCCAATCGGCGACGCAACGCGATGTCTGACTGCTTGTATCTGGAGTGACTTCTCAAGACTGGATTCAGCAACCCAGGAGATGAAATGATTTGGGAGGAACAGAAGAAGCTGGCGAAACAGGCACCTCTGCGGTCCTTCGCATGTGGATACCCTTCTTTGCTGCGCACGGCGTGAAGTGAGCACGGACGTCGCGTGTCTCTCTCTGACTCTGCACTGGTGGTAGGTTGAGGACTTCAAGGCCCTCTGTGGATAGCTCAGCAAGATGTCCCGAAAAGCAAGCAAGGGCAGACTCCGCCGTCTGCGTGCTCAAGCGCTACCGAGGCAACCAGTTGGACACAGATAACTCAGGCAAGGTCGTGGCGCGGTCTGTAGGCCATTGAAGCCCCAATGCAGTCTGAATCGCCGTGCTGTTGCTTATATGATTGGATCAGCGCTGCTCTTCGCCAACCTGTGTGACAGCAATGATACGACAAGCTAACTGATAAAATGTTTGTGCGAGACGAGTGTTATCAACAGACAGGCTTTGAGAAGTCTTTGAGACAGACTGAGAGAATGGTGAGGGCTACAGAAGTGCTGGAATGGTCGATCCAGGAACAATTACCAAGACCGAGTTCAAAAAGCACATGCGAAGCGACGTCATGGTGTCCCTTGGCTTGAGCTGAATTCAGCTGCACGTGAGACCACGCTCTTGCCGTGTTCGCGCGTGCAATTCGGATCACTGGCTTTGGGTGTAGACAGTATCCTTCGGATACAGGGTTGGAGGGATGTGCATTCAAGAGTGCAGCGTGATTCAGCACGAGGTCGTACATGTCCAGCGTTGGCTTGGAGATGCATGACGTAGAGCACCCTGGTTCGCACAGTGATGCATGCGAGGCCATCAGGCTGTCGAACCTGGCTGGTCGACGTTGTGCTGCATCATGTTGTGCTTTCGTAATGTGTCGCACCAGTGCCAAGTTCAGATTGGATGACACGGAGCCTTAGGCACTTCTTCCGGACAGTGGCCGGAGAAGACCAAGAAGTAAGTATTGACCGGTTCGTGGAGGGATGCATGGCAGCCTCCTCGGTGCCCTGCTGTGGGCAGAGTGCCTGAGACAAGCCTGAATGAAAGTCAGCCAGGCCATGAGGGGCAATGCAACTGCGCTCGATGTGCAGCGACAGCTGTTCGAATGCACCTTGCATGCAAAGCACTCCTTGCCTGATATGTCGCAGCTGTCGTTTTGCACTAGACTGGAAAAGCCCACATCTGACGGCTAAGCAGTAGCCGCAATCTCACGCCATGGTCCGAGGCAAGCGCCTGTCCGACGCAATCAAATCGCTGAAGCGCGAGCATAGCGAGAACATGGGCAAGGCTTCTGGGAAACTGAAGCTGCAGGGTGTGCCACATTGAGAGACCCGACGGTTCTCTGGCGAAGACATGCCAAGAGCACCTGACACTTCGGTCAACTTGGCGCGAGCGCGGCTTTGTCCATGCCTTTTCTGCAGGTGCAGTGGATCCTGTTGAAGGCATTTCCTCGGCTTGCCGACGAGATGCCGAAAATAGATGACAAGGCAGAAGTTCAAGACGTTCAGCTGCAAAGCTCCTACGTCCTAGTCAGCCATGTAAGTCGATGAGTGTCCCTAGCATCCACAGACCACCGCAACAGCTAGGCTAGAATGTCTAACCGAAAAGGCGACCTATGCAGGATGTCGAAGCATTGAAGAGCTTTGCAGATTTTGCAGGGCAGTAAAGAGAACATGAAACAATCAAGCAGTGACTCAGTAGTGAAGGGCTTGCTGCTACCGCATGCGCTGCCGAGGGAGATCCAGTGTAGGTTGGGGCAGCCATGCACATCTTAGGCTCTGCTGGGGTTGGGTCAGGCCTCTTCGCACAATCGCGTCGCTACAAGACCGGTTGCCGCGGTAGGGGCCATCATCGTCTGGGGTTTGAGGAACCACAGCATCGCGAATTAGCAGATCACAGGCCCCTGATAACAGATGCTAAGCTTCTTTGCAGGGCAGTTCTGACAGGATAGCACACACCATCCGACCTGCTGCATGCTGACGACTTTTTTCCGCCATGTTCCGCTCGTAAACGTAGGCGGCATCGCTTCGCGGTGCCAAACGAAGCTAATCACGGATTCGGTCGTCGATGTCGTCTCTCTCTTCTGGGACCAGTAGGGAGGACCGAGTGCGCGCCGGCACGGCGGTGATGCTACACCACCGGCTCGGCTTATTTTGTTTATTTTGTTTCGGCTTGCTCGACATTACTATCTGAGCGGAAAGGATTGCTAGTGAAGGCACCGCAGCAACGGGAAACGAGTCAGCGGCCTGTCCAAACTAATTCGGTGGTAGAGTTAGGTGATGGGAGGTGTTAAATGCGTGGCATGAGAGTCTGTTCGACGGGATCGGTAGCGAAGGCAAGGATGCAGTAATGTGGAAGTTGCCGACCGGGCAACGAAATGCTGAGTACGGGGACAGGGTGTCGGGATTCGGAAGGTCGTTCCATCATGGCGTCTCGCTCCAACTTGGTAGCAGGCACAGCAATCATCGAACCCGACGCGTTCGCAGCAGTCCTCGGCCAGTGACAAGGCATTGGAGGGTGCTGCTCTAGCGGTGTGTCCTCTGTTTGTGTTTGAGAAACAAGCAACAGATATGTAAGTCGACTTGTCTCAGCAGTCCTTGGCCGTATAGTTACGGGGCAATGTCTTCGTCAGGTGCAGCACTGCAGTGCTGGTCGCCCTTCCCCAACGAGCTCAAACACCGGAGAGGCAACCAGCAAGGCCCGGATGCACTTTGCTTCCAAGATCTTCCAAGCCACTAGAATGTTGTCTTGGACGTCATCGCAGCTGCGCTCGACTGCTTTGCCTCCGCAGGCCTCCAGCCCAACTCGTGAGATCTCGTCGCCCGGAGCGATTCTTGGCAAGGACGGACGTAGAAGCGGCTCCGAAACGACCAACAAGCCCGGAAGCCACCAGAAGCTGTCACAGAAGTTTGTGCGATATAAGCAGAGGGCTCGTTTAGGAGTCTTGAGTCTTGGCTCATGAACTTATGTTGCGAGTGTTTTGTTAAAGCCGTGTTACGCTTTCGAGATCTTTCGAAACTGCTTTTTGCTGACGTGGCTGTCTGGTGCTCTATTCAGCTCTGAATGCTGCAGGAGATGGAAAGAATGACGCCGGTTCACGCGGCGGCCAAGTGAGTCAAAACAACTTGTTAGCTTGGCTGCGACGTCTGTTGCGGGAGCTGAATAAGCAGCAGCTATTGGACTGTGAAGCATATGCCTGTCGGACATGTCGGACTTAGCGTCCGACATCTTCGTTCCTGCGACGGGCATGTTCTAATTTCATTGCAACCCGTTTGAGAGGTGGTGTCTACCTAATATGTGCAAGTCCAACATGGTTAAAGAGCCTTCATAGTGGACACAACCTCTCCTGGGGCTTCCCGCCCTGATGGGACGAAGCTCCATTGGCATGGCATGCTCGCAAAACCAAGTCTCAAACCCGACAACAGGAGGCACGGAGAAAGTCCAAGCTTCTCCTCGGAATCGTCCTGCTCCGATCAAGGACGATGCCGTGTCAAGCAGATGCCACTTCAAATGAAGCCATAAGCCATCTGATCCGACCCGACCAGCAAGACATGCCCGAATTTTGCGAGCAAGTGCGGCCAATAAACTTTCCACTGAGAGGAAGACCAAGCCTTCTCCTCAGGTTGTTGGGGGATCTATCTCCTGCAGGTTGCGAGGCTAGGCTGATGCCACTCAGTCGAGTGCTACTTGGGAGTGTGCCGGTTTTAGACTCCAACCATTCAGCATCGCAACCTTGATGCTAGCGTCGCCACCACGATGTGTAAAGCAGCTGCTCATCCAACTTAGATCTGCACATCATGCAGAAGCAGGATCTAACATGACGCCGCTCACCTGATTTCGGAGTGGTTCCAACAGTATTCGACAGGCGTAGTTGCCATGGATAGCGGTTTAGCAGTCAGGGCACCTCCAACACTCTCGGCGTTTATAGTATCTTTGTGTGTTGTAGGTATTCGCCGGTCATGGCCTTGGGTGCCGAGCAGCTACTTACAGCTATGACTGGTGGCATGGATGTTTTGATCGTGCCCTCTCGGATTTTGAAGGTTACAGTCTTTTCTTCTCTGTTTGGCAGCAGCATGGTTGAATGTGGTTGACTTTGCTAAGACACATCCAGCTGTGTCTGCGAGTTTTGTGAAGTGAAGCTTCATTCCCGTGGGAGGGCTTTCCCGGCTGGCTCCCATGGCTGGGTGATTGCCTGGCCAAAGCTGAAGCGTTTGCTGTAGTAGCGCTGTACCACCGGCCACCGTGACGTCCTCGCGAGAGCGGGTGAAGCGGTAAGAAGTGGTGAACTTTAAGTGAAAGTTGACAACTAGAGAATGAAACTTTCCTTTCGACATTGCGGGACTCTCTAGTTTGTATGAACGTTGTGAGGCTGGTGCTGTTTCAGGCCGAGCATTTCAAAGCTCACGTGTGGAGCCGGCGATGTAACAGAGTCGCTACGGCGATAAAGCAGATGCAAGTGAGCTCTCAGTTGCCTACTGCTACACTAAGCCTGTCGTTCTGGATGGGAGTTGTGAGGCGAGCTTTAACCTGCCGAGGCCAAGGCTGCGAGCGGCGGCTGAGCCCGAGGCGCATACAGTCTCAGCCTTTGAGGCTCTTCTGCAGACGAGGCTTCGCGGCCCTTAAGGTGCCAGCACAAAGCAGGCTTCGGTGCTTGGCATTTGAAGATTCAGGCTGACCCAAGGCTTGCCATCTCGAGAGGGTCTCAGTCAATCCGACCGAGTGCGTAACGTGACATTTTCGCTCAAGCATCCATACGGGGGTGCCAAGCAAACATGTACATAGGCTGCCCCTGATTCCCGACCCTTCGTCGCGACTCGCGACCGGTTTGATCCCTTCACCAGAAAACCTGTATGTGCGTGCGAAGTTGAGGGTGCGATCCGAAGCAGCGTGCATCGGCTTAGCCTAGGACCACTTGAACTTACCCCCCTGTCTCGTCTGCTTTCAATAGAGTACGTAGTATTATTATTATTATTATTATTAGTAGTAGTAGTAGTAGCAGGAGTAGTAGTAGTAGTAGTAGTAGTAGTAGTAGTAGTAGTAGTAGTAGTAGTAGTACTGGAAGTAGAAGTAGAAGTAGTAGTAGTAGTAGTAGTAGTAGTAGTAGTAGTAGAAGTAGTAGAAGTAGTAGAAGTAGTAGAAGTAGTAGGAGTAGTAGAAGTAGTAGAAGTAGTAGAAGTAGCAGTTGCATTAGCACTAGGAATCGGACTGGGACCAGTACTAGTACCTGTACTAGTACTACAGTACTAGTACGAGTAGTACTAGTACTGGTACTACGGCTACGACGACGACTATTACTGCTAGTACCACTGCCGCTGCTGCTGCTGCTACTACAAGTACTAAGAGGAATACCAGTACGACTAGTACTACCAGTACTATCAGTACTGTGAGTATTAGTATTACGAATATTACGAGTACTACCAGTACTACGAGTACTACGAGTACTAGAAGTACTACGAGTACTACAAGTACTACTACTGCTACTACTGCTACTACTGCCACTACTGCCACTAGCACCACTGCTACTACTACTACTACTACTACTACTACCACCACCACCACTACTCCAACTACTCCTCCTCCTGCTCCCACAGTGTCAAATACCACTACCACGACGATGACTACACCTGCTTCTACTGAAGTACATGTACCAGTACTAGTACGTTATGGTACTACCACGAGGACTACTACTACTACTACTACTACTACTACTACTACTGCTACTTCCCCTGCCGCTACTACTCCTACTACTACTACTACTACCACCACCACTACCACTACCACTACCACTACCACTACAACTACCAACTAGCTACCACTACCACTACCACTACGACTACCACCACCACCACCACCACCACCACCACCACCCCCACCACCACCACCACCACCACCACCACGACCACGACCACGACCACGACCACGACCAGGACCAGGACCAGGACCAGGACCACGACCACGACCACTACCACTACCACTACCACTACTACCACTACCACTACCCCACTACCGCTACCACTACCGCTACCGCTACCGCTACCGCTACCGCTACCGCTACCGCTACCACTACCACTACCACTACCACTACTGCTACCACTACCACTACCACTACCACTACCACTACCACTACTACTACTACTACTACTACTACTACTACTACGACTACTACTACTACTACTACTGCTACTACTGCTACTACTACTACTACTACTACTACTACTACTACTACTACTACTGCCGCTACTAGTACTACTACCACCACTACTACTGCTACTACTACGACCACGACGACTACTGCGACCACTCGGACGACGATCAACCGCCAGGTTCTAAGGAGGGGGAGCGTTTAAGAGATGTGAGCAACTGCCATCTACCATCTACCGAACCGAATGATGTTTGCAAGCCGCTTTGCACCTGCACGATGAGCTTGATCGATAAGTTTGCGAATGTGGAGGGAGCAGTTCTGTTTCAGCGGGCCGCTCAGCCAGAAGTGTACTGTATGGCCTGGTGCTATCTTGGCCCAAGTCACAGAACAACCTCCGCAGGCATCGGCACGAAGCTCAGTCAGAGAAGCTCTGAGAAGCTAACAGGGACTGTTTTGCGGCTGAGGCCGAAGGCGACCAGAGGGGCCATTGAGAGGCCGCAGAGGAAGAATGGATGTCGATCCAAGTCCTGCGCTGGAGGCACAGCGGAAGGCAGGGTCCAGGGGTGGCCTAAGGTGCAAGTCAGTCAAGCCGCGAGAAACTTCTCGCTACTAAGCCGAGCAATCTGGAGTCAACCTTGTCTCGCTGTGACTCGCTGTGTTCAGCCCGTGGCATGAGTGCTTCACGTGCTTCATGCATTGTCTTTTTGCCAGGCTCACCCAGAGCTCTCCGAGCAGCTGGATAAGATGCAGAAATTCGTAAACAGCAAGCTGCAACTCGGAGAGAACAAGTGCACCATTGATTCCGTTAGTTCGTGTGGCGCCACGGCCTGTGTCTTGATCTTCTAATCCTTTCAGGCTATTGCTCTCGCTTTGTTGTGTTGATATGGACAACGGACACCCGGGATTTGCTTGTGAAGCTGTTGAGTATGCCTTGCGGCCCTGCATCAAGGTATCACCAACTCACCCAGACTCTCCTGGAGTGCTCCGCCGTGTGTGTTGAGGCCGAAGCCCGACGGCCCGATGAGGCTGAGAGCGCCTTGTCCAGGTACCTTGTAAGTCCTCCCTTTGCTGCTGCCACGCCCGCGGTGGCGGCAGAGTTGAAGGACTTCTTCGAGGGCCGGAGCCTCGGAGCCCCTGTCGCTCTGACTTGCCGGCACTTGGCCGCCACGGCCACAATCGCGCCTGTATCGGATGAGCATTGAGCCCTTTTGATTTTGATTTCATGCCAAGGCTTCATAAAGGCCTTTGAGGTGAGATTCGACAAAGTGCGATGGGCGATGACCTCAGTGTGGCCTTTTTCGCCTCGACAACTTTTACAATCCAAAAGTGCCCGTCCGCTAGAGGAACTGTGTTCTGCTGCTAGGTTCAGATTCTTTCAATCGTGGGGAAGCCGCAGACGCCGGTCGTGGCGTTGGAGCTGATCGCTCCTTTCGAGGCTCAAAACGGAGAAGTCAGGGAGAGCCGCGAGAGAGCCAACCGTGGAGAATCCAGACAGGGTGGCATGGAAAACCTTTCCTCCGATCAAGTTCAAGACTTCTTTTCCCTCACCTCCCAACACTCGCCACAGACAGACCCATCGTGCCACAGGCCACCATGGCCGAGAACCGCGATGCCAAGTTTCTCTGTCAGGCTCTCAAGGCCTGGCCGGGGAGGAAGCCGCAGCAGCTGCGCCGCGAGAAGCAAAGAGACAAAGCAGACTCGTTTTTGGAGAAGTACTTGTCCGTGGCTGAGCGCTGCATGGAGACTGCAGTGGCTCAGGGCGAAAAGCTCATCCTGTCGGGAGACACGGATTCCGCCAAGGCAGTCCGAATGTGCTGCGCTTACATGACCATACAGCCATACATTCGGGTCGATGTGCCGGCAAGTAGTAGACCATTCAGAGCGAAGAACTGCATGTCGATCTCCCTTTGTTCTGGAACCTTTTGGCAGGAGCTCTTGGAAAATTTGGGGCTGGAGATAGACAATGCCTACGAGGCAGCTTGAACTGTTTGTCGTGTCGAATGCGCAGCCGAGCATACAGAGCGTGCCTTGTGACACCGTTCTTGCAGGTGCAAGCGCTCATCCAGTCCCATTTCTACAAAACCAATGCTTTGCTTTGGAAGACCCTGGGGCGCTCGCAGGAGTTCTTGTCTCGGGACCTCATCAGCTGCCGACGAACCTTTCAGCGTCGTAGGTCGTACTTGCAGGTAGATTACCTCATGCTGCAGGGATTCCAGCCCGAACGATACGTGAACGTGCCTGCATAGCTGCCCGAGAAGCTGGGATCAATCGTGCTACAATTAGTTCCAGACAACACCATCGAGGTTTTACAAGAGCTCCATTCTGTACCTGGCCTTCACGCCTTTGGAAGCGATTCCTTTGGAGGACTCTCGCTCAACTTGACTCGCAGACCGCCGTTGGCACAGACCATGTCAATACATGACAACGAAGATCCATTTTGCTTGGAGCCTTGAGGAGAGGCCACAGATTGCTTTCGACACGGTGATAGCAGCGCTGGTCGCCGAGGAGGCCGCAATGCCGCAATGGTGCTCTTTGACGAACTCTGTTGCTGTTGCTGCTGCTGCTGCTTTTGTTGTTGCCGCTGCTGTTGTTACTGTTGCTGTTGCTGTTGCTGCTGTTGATGTTGTTGGACAATCGGCAAGGAATTCAACTTTGGTGAACTCACCCAGCAAGCGATCATCCAGTCTCTCGATGGTCGAGCACTTATCCAGATGCTCAGAAGTCTGAAACCCACTTAGATGGGTTTGTCAAGAATACGTGCACTTTGTCTTGCATTCTCGATTCGGCTGAGGCTCGGCGTTTGCATGGGTCAGAGATCTCCTGCAGGCAGAAAGCATCTCTAACGTGATGTTTAACTTTCAACGGTGTCGTCAACGGCGCTCGCGCACAGCCTTCGCTACAGACTAGTTGTTTAGCATGATCGGTTGTGTGAAGATGACTTTCATTTCTGCCGAAGTGTTCCGTCAGCTTCGAGTCCCCAGCAAGAGCCATGAAAGTGAAGATTATGCAGACGAGCGAACCCAACACATTTCTTTGTTGCTTCTCCGAGTATTGTCCGGAAAACAAAACGCTCCTCTTCGACTTGGCATATGGCGCATCAACGGTGGATGGCTCGCAGGACCAGTCGGTCTGCACGGACTGATGACGAACCGGTAGCTGTGAAAGAAAGGTCCCAATTATACGCATCCTTTATCGTTCTGGCACGGAGCGTCTGGATACTGGATTGTGTGGGGGCGCGGGCCGTAGCTGTAATCCTGGGTCCAGCACTGGGGTCTCCCAGAGCGAGTGCGAGTAGCAGCTTCTGCCAGCAATATCAATAAAATGTGGTGTTGTAATTCACAGTATTGGCCATGGTAGCAGTAATGGTAGGAATAATGGATTAGTGTGTGTTGTGTATTGTTGTGTGGCAGTCATGGCACGACTAGTATGGATGGATAATCGCCTGAAAGCGGGCATTCCTGGCATCCGCGTCGATCTTTTGCGGCTGGGTGCCTCCCCACCTCGTTCTGCATTGTCGGTGCAGCTGCGCGGGCTTGATCTTGAAGGATGCGAGCGATGTTGGGTAGTCCAAAGACCTAGTTGCAATCAGCATCTTGTGGAGCGCGGCTTCGTCGAAACTTCCCTCCTGCTACAAGGCGTTCAGCGAGGGCAAGTTTGACTTGTCGCTGTCTCGAGACTTTGCGATCAGCTGCTACATACCGCGTCTCATTGACACTCTGAGTCGCAGAAGCTCCCAAGGTTCGATGCGGCCATCGCCAAGAACAGAGCGCAGATGGAGGCCGCATGCCGCGCCAATTAATTGTCGCTGGGTAAGTTGGAGAGCGCACTGCATGGATCTAGTTGAAAGGCTGCGCAAGCAACATGCACAGTGCTTCTCCCCAGCCTTACAACAATCTTGCGGGCAAAATCCGCTTGGAGGCAAGCCCTGAACTGAAGTCAGCGGAGGTCACGCTGAGGCGAGTTGCAGCAGATGTTGTGTCAGAAATAATTGAATGGGCATGGGGACAGACCTGAGTGTATTCTTCGTAGGCGGAAGATGTGCGCTCTCTCGCTCATGGAGCTGGCTTTCAGGCCGGTGCGACGTAAGGTGGCCGTCTAGCCAGGAGCGACCTGATTACAGGAAGCCGAAGAAGCAGAGGCGCCTAAGCTTCTCCGAAATCGCGCAGCACTGCCGAGTGCTTTGCCTGCAAATCAAGTTCTCAAGATTCTAGGGCGACTGAAGGTGCGCACAAATGTTTGGGCTTTAGCACTTGGGGCATTTGTAGCTTGCTTGAAGCAGACACCTTCAAGTGCATGCGGCTGCTGATACCCAGCCCGACCTTTCAAAAAAACGTCGCGACAGCAATTCTAGTTTTGTGGCAGCACGGGGATGCGAGAAAGGTCCAGATTTGCATCATGTCCGAACCAGAGAAGATGGCCGAGAAGGATACTGATAATTAGAGTCAAGCAACCGAACCATCTTGCGAAGATGATTCCATGTCTGTTTTCAGCCAGAGACGGATCCTGGTCTCCAAAACTTCAACTCAACTGCTGTCGACACGTGCACACGGCAGCCTCAGAGCTTCAATGTCAATAAGTTGATAAGGATAAGACTTGACAAGCGAATCAACCCGATAGTGAGTTGAGCCGGGTGTTGAGGCTACTCTGGCCAGCCCCCCCTTCCCCTCCGCCCTCGCCCAGCGTCGTCCTAGCCCCCCCCCTCCCCCCCACCACCACCACAGCTGCCAAGCTACGCCCCGCCGCAAAGGCAAGGGAAAAGGTGGCAAGGGATCCGGTGGAAGGCGCTTCTTCAAACGGAAGAAAGGCAGGTCAAAACTTGCCGAGGATTCCGATGCATGGCAGGCAGATGGACAATGGCCAGACAGCCAATGGAGCGATCAGTCCTGGGATGACTGGTCCTGGTACGAGTCTGAGGAGTCCTAGCGGCCATGGTGTTGGATTTGGGATGCACGAGAGCTATCGCTTCGAGAGTGGCCTCGCAGGACCTTATGAAGTTCTGTGATCAGAATCCGGACTGTGGCATTTGGGACACCATAGCTGAGACCACGTCTCAGTTCACCTTTGCCAACTCCGAGTCAACCAAGTGCAACCAGAAGTTGGTCATTTGCATGTACGACCTGGAGTACGCAGTTCAGTCAACAGAGTTCGACGTCGTGGAGCAGGGGCATGTACCTATTCTCATGTCCTTGCCGCAGATGCGCAACCTCAGGTTCCAGTTCGAACTCCATCCGGACAAGGCATTGCCTAGCAGTCCTGTACTGGGTATTTGGAATGTGAAGCTTAAGGTTGCTCCTGGCTCACATCTGGTACTTGATCTTCTCGACCTTAGTAGGTTGAGGTGGAACGTTCGTTTCGACAAGCACAAGAAGTCGAGCTTCCTCACTTACTTCTCCCACTACGAGTACGGGTTCCACCAGAAGACCCGGGGAAGCTCTTCACAGGAAGAGGTACCCGACAATCTCGTGCTGTGGCGACGGATGATGAGTGGGTCATCAACGAAGCCGACATGGAGATGATTCGTATCCACAAGAAGATGCACAAGGTCAAGAGCACGAGCCCGAAGAAGGATTTGTGCCCATTCCGCTGGAGTGCCTGGACAACAAACGCAAGACGATCATGGAGTTCTCCAAGGGCAAGAGTGTGACTCAAGAAGATGACTGGCGTTCTACTGAGCGTTCTGCCACGAGAACAACGGGTTCTTGGAATGGTAGGACAATGTAGTAGGATCACCAGAGGACATGATTAGCAAGGGCAAGCCTGAACACAGCTCAAAGAAACCAAGAGCATCCGGAAGCTTCCCTCAAGGGAAGGAACCGGTAAAAAGGAGGTTACGCGCCAAGGGAAGCGGTTCACAGGGACCGGTACCCAAGGATGAAACTCCTCCTATGGCTCCTGAAGATGATCCGGATCTTCAAGCACCATCACATTTGCTTCCTCCGAGAGCCCCAGAGGCTCAGTCATTAGAACCTAGGAGGATCGCGATTCCATTGCCAGGTCAAGAGGTCTCAAGGGCCTCTCCCTCAGTATCAGCGCATGTTGCAAAAGTTGAACAATGATGTTGAGCTTTACAAGTTGCGTTTGAAGCATTACCACACGAGTTCAGCTCAGTTTCGACGAAGGACCAGCATGCTTGGGCTGCCAGGAGAGGTCCATGACAAGTACGACCGCATTCTCAAAGGCTGTCGTGTTTGTAGCACCTCCGTGCCTACGCCTCCGCGAGCCAGAATCGCAGGCTTAAGAGCATCATCCTTCGGAGATCTCATCTTTGTAGATCACGAAGAAATCAAGTTTGGTACCAAGGCTTACCTTGCCTTGGTTATCATTGACGGTGCCTCCAATCTCCTGTGGGCTACGGCTCTTACAAGCCTGGAAGCGCCCGAGACTCTGGGAGCTTTTCGACAATGGACAGAGGAGAACAACTGCGTTCCTAAGGGGATCGTAGGTGATCAAGCATTTTTCACACCACAGTTCATGTCCTCCTACAAGTTCCATGGCATTACTCCATATCCATGTGGACCTCGGACTCCTTGGCCTAATCGAGCCGAGACTGCGGTGCGGTTGTTCAAACGCATGTGGTCTATCATGGCCAAGGCCTTGGCTGATGAAGGTTGTGATGCAGAGAAGGTGAGTGTTCGTCAAGCAGTCAAGAAAGTGGCATGGGCAAGAAATTGCTAACTGATCGTCTCAGGTTATTCTACTTTGGAGATAGCCGCCGGGAGACAACCACCGGACTTGTTTGACGTGGAGAACAGTACTCCGGAACAACTCTCTGCCGATCCTGCGGAAGAGGATCGAACCACGCTGGATCTCCAATCCTCTGCGAGCTCATCAAGAGGCCCGGCAGTCACTTGATCTTCGCAAGGACATGGCACGGCGAGTTATGCCGTCTGATGGTCCGTATCAAAAGAAAAAAATCGTGTGTTTGTTGGGCATAAAGATGAGTCGAAGAAGAAGTCTGAAGGAACCTGGGTCAGACGTGTGGTTGTGTCACAAGAAGGAGCCCTGGTGTTGGATGAGGTCCGTCGTGCTGTTCTTCGAGTCAATCAATCGAAGGTTAGGCGCATGGGTCTCGCACGATGTTGCTATTCCTCTGAAGCCTGATGATTCACGAGGCTCTTCAGCTGAAGAGGTACGTGACGACGGTCCAAGACGCTCCTCTCAGGAGGAGGCACTTGACCGCATCGGCGATGGCATTCTTGAACGTGCAGGTTCTGGATACTGCCACGAGCGTGAGATCGGTTACCACACTCTCACTTCAGGAAAGAGCGATTTCGTTGAGATCACACCTGGCCTTACCGGGCTTACTGCGTGCACCGTTCATTCGGGTCTTGAGGCGAGTGAGCCTGTGTTGTTTGGTGAATGGAGGATACTTTGTCACCAATATGTATCCTGCCCATTCTGGGTTTTGGCTCTCCCAGAGCAGTCGCTCGCTGAAGTGGAGAAATGGACTTTCATTCATCACTTTCAAGAACCGCGGTGGGCATCAGCATGGTGAGATTTCTCTTCTCACTAACATGCCAGGTGGATCTTTTGATCGTTTGGAGTCACTCGAAGAAGGTATGACACTTCAAGCACACTTGATCCTAGGTTTTGCTGTTTTGCTATTGCAGTGCCTTGTTGGTGATGACCGTTCAGATCTCAGGCAATCATATTTGTTCGAAGATATCTTTGAGGACTTTGATGATGGAACATTGTGCGCGTTGTGCTTGCGTTCAGACCGAAACTCAGAGGCGTTGCCGGTTCTTCCCTCAGATGAAGAGTATTCTTTGCTTCCCAACAATTCAATTGAGAAGCTTCCGCCGCCTCTGCGGTTTGTCGCTCCACAAGGGTTTGTGACTTCATCTTTGGTTCAAACCCTGTCTTACGTTGACAGTCTTCTTCTGGGTAATGAGTTGGAAGTTCACACCACCACATCGGCTGATGCAGTCGTTCTGCGACCCATTATTTAGAGCGTGCGGGTGTTGACTCTAGACTCTAGCTTACCTGGAGTTTCTCAAGGGAAAATACTTCCGTTGGTTCATCGTATCCTGATGCTGTTGTGATTTTGTGGCAGAAGGGTGACGGATCATGTGTTTTTTTGACGACGGCGCAGTTGCTTCCTTGTCTTCAAGATATGCAATCTACGCAATGGTCCAAGATAGTTTTCTGGAATGAAACTCGAGGAGTTGGTTCTAGAAGAGGGCCTGATGTTGGTTTGGAGTTCACAGACCAGCCAGCACCGACTCCGGTTGCACCGCAACCTCCGGCCACTGATGATGACATGGACATCCAGGGTACGATGATCCACATGGCGATATGCCTGTGGATGATCAGGATATGCCGGCACAGCAGCCTGAGCAGGATCTGGATGATGATGCCCCTCATGGAGCAGGCTCTTCACAGGGGGAGGGAGCTTCCGGTGCAACCTCGTCCGGTTCTCAATCTCCTCCAGAACCCGCAGGTGCGGCAAAGGAGGCAAGTCCAAAAGCAACTCCAAGGACAAGAACTGACTAGGTTCCGACGTGGGCGAGCATGACATGACTTTGACGACCTCCCTGACGAAGACATGGGTCCTGGCCCCACGAATCCCTTTGGCGATGGACCGTGGTTTCCCTAAGTTCTACAACACCACACGTGGCGTTTGGAACGCTGGTACTATCCTCATCGTCAGCTTCCGCATGAAGATGAGGATCCACGAGTTCGTCGACTTCTGGATCTGTACCAACAGCAACGTCCGATTGAAGAAGTGGGCTGAGTGTTTCACGGAATGCTTTTCTCAGGAAAAAGTACTTCCTAAAGACCTTGTTAAGAACAAGAGGATACTTATCACAAGATAAGATACTTCTGAGCCCTTACGACTGCCTTGCCGCAATGATGTCGTGCTGGCATCAAGTGGAGCTAAGCTCTACAGTTTTATGTGCAGTATGCTTTCCATCTGGAGAGGGAATTGAACACAAAAGGGGGCAACTTTCAAGCAAAAGTTTTACACCGAAGATCCATTTGTGTTTGTGTGCGTGTTCTGCTCTTTTCATAATCTGTCTCCAAGCTGAGATGTATGGCTTCTCGCAAGTCGCAGTAGTAGTCCAATACTCCGCCGTATTAATTCACTTGGGCAATAACAGGTTTGTAGAATGCCGACTCCCCGGCCATGCAGCTCTATGTGTTTTAAATTTGTGCCTGGTTGAAACACTGACTGTTACACATCCAGGTGTGTGTCTGTTTCACGTATCATTTGCATGTATCCATGCTTGTTGCTCAAGGTTCTAGTACAGCAGAGATCTACAGTTGTGCGCCTGTAGTAAAAAGAGATTCCTGTGTGCCTGTGTTCCTGTACGCGTAGCGAGGGATACACGCCCAGGTTACATCTCAGAGGGGGGGGTGGCCGGCGGGCTAAAATATGATCCTCAAGAGGCAGACGTGCCCCGTCTTCTTTGCGTTGCCACGGTGACGGGGGGGGGCAGGTGAAGAGTGGGGGGGGGGCCTCGAAATTCGACCCGCTTTGTGGACACTCTAATCAACCCGAGTGGCTCACTGAGCCGTCTTCAGCGCAGAGCTCAGTAACTATCAGTCACCCGAGGTTGGCGCAATGGAGGCTCGTTTGCCGTGCAGACTGGTGTGCTGCGTCTGCTGATGCAACAGTGTCAGCCTCTACATAAGCGTATATACGTTCATGGTGTGAGGTGCTACCAGCGGTCGACTCTCCGCAGCCATTTGTATTTGCCGGAATCACATTCGCATAAATATGCGACGGGTATGTTCGTGGACACATGTGGGTGACATGGCCGTCGTCATGACGACCCAACTGGGCCAAACGGTCAAAATTACCAAGGGGCCGGAACATAGCCTGCACCCCGACGACTTTCAGCAGCCATGAAGCACCGCTTGCGACAGCTCCATCCGGTCAGCCACATACCAGCCACTGGCTACAGCCGAAATAGCCTGAAACCAGCTTAGACATGGCTTAACGGCTTAACGTTTGCGAATTATTAGACTTGGAGATGTCCATGGCGAGCGGTGTCCCAAGCCATGATCCGAAGACTTGCATTCGCCCGGGCCCCGCAGTATCACCGCAACGCTGAATCCCCGCCACTTGTGCAGCTGGCGCAGGTGCTGCGTATCTGTGCAGCCGAAGTGCCTTTCAAGGCAGGTGGAAACGAACAGAAGAGATGGTGTAGCTAGTCAGAAACTTGCTGATGTTGCTGGACGAGTATGCAAGCGATACAAGTCGACCAGGTGAGCCTGCTTGCAGAGCCGTCTGTATCCAAGTTGGATCTGACCAAGACGGTAGGTTCACGCCTGCTTCTAGAAGATGCCAACAGACTCGCGTCATTGATGTCCGATGACTTGCGGTGGGTATTGCCCAGGACGTACTTCGGCAACGAAGGCACGCATTAGCATTCTGGAATGACTGGATTTGTGGAAGCTGTCCTGGAAGTAATCTGCTGGTCTCTTCCACAGCTGCCGCAGGCAAAGAGCCGGATGTGCTCTATCCTTGGCATGGGACCCAGAGTGACGGTGCCAAGTTGCACCGGCTCGTCCGACAAATCTCCACAAGGCCTCTTCGAGATCTCGCGGCTGAGCGGCTGCAGGAGGCCAGGCGCAGAGTTTGTTTGTCACTTAGATGCTTTGCCTTTGGGACAGGGGTGCAGCATTCGGTATCAGGCCGCGGCCAAGAAGCGCCCCACGCTTGCGCTGCGTGATGGCTATTCTCTCAGCATTGCAAAGAATCCGAAGAAGAGTTCTGCTGTTGCTGTGTTGATGCTGGTCTGGAAAGGTCGGAACACAGGTCACACTGTTGCTTGGGATGAACTGGCCGCAGGACTTGGCTTCCTCGTCGAGGCTTCGCCCACTGCACTGCCCGCTGGTGCCGGGCCTCCCAGAAAGTTTGGATCCGACGAAGTCGGCACAGCTGACCAATCTTCCACGTGGATGTCGTGGCATGCCACGAAAGGCCGCAGGTCCAAAAAAAGGTGGTGATGCTATGCTGCAGTAGCCTTGCTTTGAGTTTCGGCAGGCACACGCCAGCATCTGCCCTTGCAGACTCAGGTCGAGGCCGGCGTTTTCGTAGGCCTCTTCAGCTTGTCGTACACGAGCAACGAGGCACGCAGACAAGCCGCTTGGATGGCCTCTGTCGACAGAGGAAGCGTCTGTTTCGTCTTGCAGAGGACAAAGTGGAGGACTGGATGGTGTCGGGTGGCACGCTGCGTCCTGAGAAGACTCGTACTTCATCTTGCCGCACACAGCACGTCACAAACTGAGGCCGCCCAAGCACAATCCCATCCGCCTTTGGAGCATGTTCTCCTACCAGTACTCAGAGACGCGTCGGTCGCCTGAGAACAGCGAAGTTGTGCTTCCGATTGAAGTTCCCCTAGGAGTCAGGAGGAGTCTAGGAGCCGCAGCCGGTCGCAGCCGCGAGCTGAAGAGTTCGCTGAGTCATTCGCAGGTGGCCGAGTCCAGCCGGACGAGCCATGCTGACTTGGTCTTAACTGCGTTGGCACTGTCAAGCACAGCTGATGTGATGAGCATGATATGCCGTGTGCCTGATGATGTGATTACTGATTGTTGCGTTACATGACTTGAGGATCCACTGTAGAGTACAGCAGAGGGGAGGACTCTCTGTGAGAGGTGATATGTCTTGCCAGGCTGGGGGATTCTTGCTTCGGAGAGGCACGGAAAGTCTGCAGACATCCTAACTGGTCGCAGTGCTGGCACCCAGCCTCGCTGCAAGAACTGGCGGGCGGAGCTTTGTGCTCGCGTTTGGACATGTGGTGGCCTCGGATGTAACATCCCTTGAACGGACCGATCAGATGGGGTGATCTAGGGTGGTCCAGTGCATTAGCATCGACAACCGTTCCTTGTTTGAAGCGATCGTTTCCCTCTTTTCAGCCACTTGCGCGCTTGGCACCATCCTTCCGGCCCAAACCTATGTAAGAGAACTGAAATACGTTCCATTGAAGTCGATCTCATCAAGGTCCAGGGATACTGCACGCCATTCCTGGAGTTTCGGGGTCGGGCTGCGCGGCACGATAGATCCCAAAGAACCAGAGATGCTGCTCGGATCGCCACTCGATGCCCGCTGAGGCTTTATCGGGCGTGGCAAAGAAGGCAGTGGAGGAGGTCTCTGGCGGGTAGCTGCCATTTGCTCAGCTGCTCAGCTTGAGATGAACAACTGTGTGACTGCATTAACTCGTGCATAGCTATTCAATCGGTTTGATTGTCAGTCGACCTGGCTCGAGGCAGGCGTTCGCTTTGCGGCTACCTACCGCATTGAGGCTGCTGGAGTAGGACATTCTTGTGCGATGCGATGCTAGTGCAAGATCTGAACGTTTGCCTTGTGACATCTTGTGCCGTGACAATGACTCTGCTTTTGTGGCGCTTGGGCATGGCAAGGCTTACCTGGGCCCTCCTTTGTCTTCTTGCAGATCATATCTGTCGGATGAGGCCTGTGGGTTTGCACTGCCAGTACCCTCATAACGTCGAGGAATGCATTTGTCGTTGCTTGCACAAGCCACTTCCTGCTCGACGCGTGGCTTTTCCGCTTTCAGCGATCCGGGATTGTAAATGCTGTAGAGAAGGCACTTCAAGATCACAACATACTTAGATCGCCGATATCACCAACTCTTGCATTGATTTGGTGCCATTTCTGCTCCCCGCCATGCGTTGGACACCGTTTTCAGTGTTGGCTTGCCTGCCTTTGGCCGGCGCTGCCAATGCCTCTTGCCCTCCAGCCGGGTTCGACTCCATCTCAGAGTTCGACTTGGACAGCTTTGTGGCAAAGCGCTGGTACAGTCAGCAGCAGATGGCAACAAAATACTTCCCCAAATCGCAGAATCGATGTATTTACAACGATTACAAGTACAAGAGAAGCCTGATGGGTTACGAGCTCCAAATTCACAGCCACCTGGAGGACGTAGATCTCCCGCACAAGATTCATGATAAGGCAGTGGCGTGCCTGAAGATTGTGGACAAGGACCGTGGAAAATTCCGGATTGCTCCATGTGTAGTGCCTCCTGCTGCCGGTGCCGCGTCCTGGATCATTGCATATGACGAAGCTGAGGGCTATGCTCTCATATCAGGCGGGCCCCCAACTGTTGCCTCAGAGGCAGGCTGTTCCACCGGATCAGGTGCAGGTCTGTGGATTTTGACCAGCAAGCAGCAGCGAGATGATGCTTTGGTGGAGAAGGTGCGGGCAATCGCAGCGCAAAAAGGCTTTGACACATCTGTCTTGAACGACGTGATCCAGGATGACTGCAAGAGCATAACACACGTGGTAGTGTAGGTCATACACCTGTCTTGATGCGTATATGCGGAGGTCAGCCGGGACCATGTGTCTGGACTGGTTTCCCATGATTCGTTGTACAGCCAAGGGGCCGGCACGACGAGTTCGCAAAAAGGCAGAGTAATTACCTTAACATCAAGATCTGAAACACACTGTCTATGCGAACAGGCAAGATTAGGCTTCAATTCAATCGAAGGTACCAAAGGAATCCACAGGATATCAGTCGGGGCTAGGGCATCCTGCCACTGGACGGGGTTACAAGGATTTGTCCAGGTCCAGGTGAATGTTTGCTGCAGTAAAGAAGCTGAGTGCAGCAAGCATTCAAAGTGCTTTTCAAGCGACAGCTAGCTGCAACAGCTCAACAGTACTAGTCAATACCATGTCATGCCACGGCCACAGATGCATAAGTCGGAGGAGCAGCAGCTTCATCCGCCAGTGTCCTGGCATGGGGCCAAGCAGCTCAAACTGGCTTCGGCACAGAAGGGCTCGAAGCAGCTCGCATGTGCATGCCCATGCAATCCTAGATCAGGGCTTGGACATGCTTGGACCATTTGTCGGGCTGCTAAGGTGGGCTCCTCCGGTCTCGGAGCACACTGTGGAGTCCATGTCTTCGGTGGTGGGCTCAGTCCAGCACCTGCTGTGGCGCTGCCATGAGTTGTCGTAACACCACGAGGAGTACTGTAGACTGCATATGTGGTTGTCTCGACATACGACATCGATCGACATCGCACAACGGTATAGGCTCGCTTCAAGACGTAATGCTGCTGCATGAACAAGGTGAGATCATGGCAAAACGGAAGTCTAACTTCTGTGCACGGGCTTTGCAAGGTTGTGCAGCACGCCGCGTGGTCGCACGCGCCTCGGTCGACTTCAGCGACTGTGGCTCAGGGCATCTCAGGGCGGCTTGTACACGTCTCTCAACATATGCCAGTCAACTACGTCTGCTGTACGTCAACCGCGAGAACTACTGGTGGGGGCAGCAAGCCCAGGCCGTCTGCCGCTGCCGCGCAGTGTTTGACGTGGCCCTAAATCTGCAGAGATGGTCGGTCGGTGGTCGTCCTACTCAGAGCCTGAGCCTGCAGGAGTGGTAACGGCAGGAACTTGGGGATGGCAAACTGACGAGGGGTGGACACAGTCAGCTGGTACAGTTTCGTGCTGATCCGCTCTGCGTCCGAAGGTTCAGCCTGCCAGCTGTTGGCTTGACCTGATGCAGGCGCCGAGTACAGCTGCATTCCAGCCGCGTTTCTGGGAAGGGCTCACGTTCAGGATGGGGACAGTTCCACATTTCATGCCCGAGAGATGTTCGGCTTTCACCCGTGCAAGTGGGGTGGACACATTGACATGTGCAGGCAGCTGTTCACAGCGCATCACTAGCCCCAGCAGCTGCGCCCGAGAGGCCGGTTCCTAATCAGGGCACGCACGTATTGCACGCTTACTGAATATGGGTTTGCATGGGCTAGTTTTATTCCGTGTGGCTCGTAGTCAAGTATCACAATAATGTAGGACAACTGGAAGGCGGTGCAAGAGCCCAATGTACAGACTCCAAAAGCACCACAGTCCGGCGAACCAGAGAACTTGAACCCTCGCTTCGAGCTTGCCTGCCCCACAGAATCTGGAAATTTGGACCCGAGTCCAGAATTGTTTGCTGCACGCGATCCATCAAAGGATCAAGGATCCATTTTCTACCAACCAGCAAGGGATCCATAGATTCTACATCCAATTGGCAATCAGCTCATTGTCGATCCTCATCTGCGAAAGTCAGCAGATATCTCCCTCTTCCAACACGGTCTGCTTGGTTTTTGTCATGTCTTTGGTTACTTTTTCCCTTTGATGCCCGGTCGGGCTACGCAATGTTGCACACCTGCCCATGGTCGCTGCATTGCATCAGCTGAGGCTTGGTCGGCAGCCGGCTCCTGACAGTCCGCATGGTCTCTGGCATCCCAGCTGAAGTTCGTTTCTTGTGCCATCATCGGTTTTGTCGCTGCCAGCTGCTATCGCTTGCGAAGAAAGCATGCGCGCAGATGAGCAACTGCAAGATTGATTCAGGCTGGAGTTCGGTGTTGGGTCTGGCAAGACAACAGCTGCAGGGGCCCTGCATCCAAATGCAGCAGGTCCTAGCTTATCGGCCTTGACTCACCGAAGGCGATCGCTTTCCAGATGAAAGTCATGGTAGGCAAGGCCAGGCAGGGTGCTGCATAGTTGGGCCGCAGCAGCCTCTTTGGGGATGGCCCCATTGTCTTCGACCTTCATAGCCTACTGCAGAGCCACCTCATGTCACATGCTATTCTAGCTTCGGGGGACTCCCGGTTTTTGCCAGTCCCAACGATCGCGGGACAATCCTTGTCCTGGATCCTGGATTGAATTAGGCTGCTAACTTCGCAGACGTTCTCATTCTCTCGATGAGACCTGTCAGGAAGCAATACTGCATGGATTCGATTCCTTCGAGGCGCATGTTCCACTCCCGGGGCACACTTCTCTTACGCTAGATTGAGATGAGCTTACGGTTTTTTTTTGCTCTGGGTCGCTGCCTCAGCGGGGCAGGGCTTGCCATCGGACTGGGACCACACGCATTTGGCAGCGGGCACCTTCAGCAGAGGTGGAAAGGCCGGCCAGCTCAGCATTGTGACTCATTGCAATTCTTGACGGACAATTTCCAACATTGTCTCAGTCGCATTGAGTATCACTGTTGCTTCTGGCCTCCTGCCTTCTATTCTAGGAATCTCCAAGCATTGCTGCATGTGTGCTTCTTTGCCTATCCGACTCGATTTCCCAAGACACGCAGTTGCTGTGCAGTTTTGCATATCCGAAGTGCTGAAGAACGGATGTGGTCTAGGAAGTTTGCGAAAGTCCACCAACAAATCGAAACAGAGAGCCATCATGCCGTGCGTTGCAAGATCCCGGAGCATCTGTTGGAAATGTCGAATGTCGTCGGCTCAGTTGTTGGCAGCGAATAGTTGAGAGAGAGAGAGAGAGAGATTTGCGGCTTTAGCTTGCACCGGGGTCTACATTTGACTTTCACCCCCCAAACAAACCCGATAAATCATATCGGGTGGGCAAGATGCCCGGGGGTCCTGACCGACCCCTATGCCCGAACGAGAGAGAGGGAGAGAGAGAGAGAGAGAGAGAGAGAGAGAGATTTGCGACAGAGCAACGAGGGCCATTGTTTGGCATCAGTCTCTGCAAGCCTTGTGCCGTCACTCTGTAGCTGTGTCTGGGTTCTCGTTCTTCAGAGGTCAAGATTCATGTGGGCCTCTTCTCTGACACTCTAGGCCAGTGGATCGAGCCTTGCAAGCATGTACCTAGGCTCTGCATGGGACGTCCGGCTTCTTAAAGCCTTATGCATTAACAGTTCTGCTTTGTGCGACCATTTCGGAGGGTGGGCAGACGGTGTGGGACAGTTTATCAGGCGGGGTGCGGGAGGTGGAGGCCCATGATGTGGTGGCTGTTGAAACTTCGGTCGGTTGAGCTGGAAGCGACGACTCAATGCCTTATGACTTTCGTGTTGAACGGTTGCGGCCATTGCTCGTGTCACAACGCTTGTTTAACTTGTATGGCCAGGACGTGTTCTCGTAAGCTTTTTCTCGACCTTTGGCACAGGGGGTCCTGAACAGGTGACCTCGATCAGTTTGGAGACATGCCAGCCGCCTAGTGCGCTTGTCAGTACGTATTGCTGCGAAGAACCAGTAAACCAGAGAATGAGAGCTTCGGCGCGGCTTCTTTTCCCGCTCTTGTTCCGATTTTGTGTCTCGTTACTCCAGCGAGGCCCGTGGCATTTGCACACATCGACGTGGACATTTTCCCATCGGCAGTCGAGGTTGGCAGCCTGCGAGTTGGCATGGGTCCACTACGTCTGGATCGTGCCGGAATCTGTCATTCCCTGCACCCGCATGGGCGGCAAAGCCATTCTGCAGCAAGTGATTTGCAAGCTTGTGATTGGGCTTTTCTCCTTGACTATACCAGGTCCTCTCTCGGATAGCCTGTCAGCTTTGGCCGGGCTCAGTGCTTGTCTATGATGCCGGGCACTGAGTCTGTGGCTCTTCGTGGTCGTGCCGGCATTTTTCGCGTGCATGCGCAGTTACCAAATGTCCTGACCGATGCATTCTGGGGGCAAGCAGAGTTCGGTGGCCACACATTGGGAACAGAGAGCCCGGAACAAACATTGTTTTGGTTTGGATCCCGACTCTCTGCACATGTCGCACGGAAAGGAGCTGGTTAACTACGTTGGCTTCGAGCTTTCTGGCGAGTACCGAGCATGGGAGCCCAGGCCTCAGGCAGCAAAGGTGGGATCGAAGATCAAAGGAAGATCCTGTGCCTGGGAGAGGTGTTTTTCCAAGAGTGTTGCTGCATGTGGTGAAAGACAGAAACGGCTGTGTTGCCCCCCTCGTTGTGGGCAAGGAACCCCATTTCTGCTGAATCACCTTCGTGCAAAGGCCGTTTCAGAGTTTCAGTGGAATCAAGGTGACTTGTCTGGGATCGTGCCATGCCGCCAGTTTTGGCAATGGCGTCCTTGCATGTATTTTTGACCTAGCCGCACTGTTGCACACAGAATTGACTTGCCACAGCTATCCAAGTTGATTATTACACTGCAAGGGGCATCTGAGTTACGACCCTTGGTCCCCCAGACAGATGCGTGTACTGAAAAACGATTGCAGAAGGCATCCCGGGGCCAATTTTTTCGAGCTGCGTGTGTATTCTGTATTATCTACTGAACAGCGTAGAAAATCCTCTGTTGGCCCCTCCACGTAAAATCTTGTACTCCGACTCCTCCGCCAACCATAAGCATGCTAGTGCAACAACCTTTTCCTGCTGCTCGTGCTCACGGCGGACCAACACGACTTGGGACACCTGCTAAATTGTGTTGGTTACATACAGGCTTTTGCAGCAGCGGAGTGCTTCAAAGTGTCGCTTACCTTATGCAGGCTCGCGGAGTAATTTCCACTGCGTTTTAAAATCTGAATGCTTTTTACATCCGGAGGAGGCCCCGGGGCTCACTTGTGTTCGGAATCCATGGGGGACTGGGTGCTCCAGCATGTTGAAGCTTAGTGGGTCGAACTATCGGCCCGGCGCGGCCTGCATTTTGGGGGCCACAGTCCCGTCCCTCAGCAGTCCCGGTGATCGTGCCATGCCGCCAATTTTGGTAATGGCGTCCTTGCATGTATTCTTGACCTAGCCGCACCGTTGCACATAGAATCGACTTGCTACAACTATATATCGAAGTTGGAATTCATGCTGCTCGTGGCGGACTAAACACGACTTGGGACACCCGCGAAAGTGTGTTGAGTACACTGCAAGGGGCATCTGAGTTACGACCGCTGGTCCTCGGACAGATGTGTGTTTCTGAAAAACGATTGCAGAAGGCATCCCCGGGCCGAACAATGCAAGCTACACGTGTATTATCTAATATACAGGCTCTTGCAGTATCGGAGCACATCAATGTCTCGTTTGCCTTCCAGCATGTTGAAGCTAGTGGGTCGAACTATCAGCCCGGCGCAGGGCGCATGTAACGTTTTGAATCCATCAATGTCGGACACAAAAGTGAGAGTGGATCCGCCGGAACCCAAAACCCTACCGCCTTCGACGTCGTTGCTTGAAGCCGGATACGTTTCGCACAGAGCCACGGCAATGACAAGACAGAAAAGGACAACGAATTCAGATGTTTTTCTGTGTCTTTGAAAAGCCAACGTTTCGGGCTCCAAACATTCATGTCCGTACGTTTCGGCCAGGCTTGAGATTGTCCAGAAAATCCTCCTCTGAATTGCAAATGTCCTCAACACACAGAAGCCTTACCATGACAACCGGTGCACATATGCAGCATGCAGGGCTCGGGCGTTTTAGGGACTGATGTGTCGACTGCAGGCCAGAAGATGCATGCCGCAAGCTGTCGCAGAACAGTCGTCTTTAGCCCGCAAGACGGGGAGAAAACATCCCATTCGTGTCAGCACACATCAACAAGCACCCCTTCTTGAGGATGCTTCGCATGCATTCACCTGCAGCCACGCAGACAGGATAAAGACTTTGGCTTTAAAGCTGCAGTCCATTGTTACAGGCACGAGGCCCCCACTGGCCTGAACACTGCTAAGGTATGTTGCTTCTGCCTACGGTATAGGCTGGTATGCTCTTCATTGAGATTGCACGAGTGCACCATGCCGGGTGGGTCCTTTTCCAGCCGAAGACTGCTCTAGAACGATGCTTTTTTCTTGCGGCAGGCTGGCAGTACGCTGGCATGTACTGGCAGCAGGACTGGGGACGTAACTGCGGCATGCTGTAGCTGCCATTCCGCATCAGGCACGTTTGACTCGAGATGTTTGACCTCGCAGGCTGTCCCAATGATCATCACCGAGCGCGGACGGAATTGCTAAACGAACCTCTTGTTGTGTGCTGCCGACAATTGTGACAGGGTCACGCCGGCGATGTACAGACACACAGCTTGCTCAGTGTCAGATCAGCCCATGGGTAAGGTGACGGATGCCAGTCTGTCAGCGTGGCTTGTCCCAGAAGCACACAGCATTAGAATGTGAAAAGAGTCGATTGTCGCGATGATTGACTCAGGCTCTCGATTCACTGTAGCTACTTTCAGCTACAAGTCATTCCAAGCGTCTTGCAACACATCTGAGTGCAGATTTAGGCAGCATGTGCCATCCTTGCTACTTGCACAGTTTACAGTGCGGATCGGCGCAGAGCGGCAGCGGCTGGAAACGCACAACTCAGCGCCCGAGCTGAAGGTGGAGCATCTGGTCATGCGCTCGATGTGTGCAGAACTTATCCGCGGGCAGATCGACGAGGCAGAGACTGAAGCTGCGATGGTTAGAACTGCAATCAAAGCTGACCCGCCACTTACAGATTTGCACACGAGACGCTAGGTGAGCGAGTTGGTCACCGTCACCTGGGTAAAGCCGCGAATCCTAGACCCTGCGACTTGGCTCCGGATTGGGCTGGAACTTCGAAGTGTAGATGCATCAGCAGGCTGCTGTCTGAAGAAGGCCGGGATTGTGACCGAGGGGGATGGCCTAGCCTGGACCTGGCATAGAACAGGTCTTCATTGCTTCAGTCATGCGTGAAGCACGCTTTCACACGTCATGGATTTAAACTCTGCGGTTGCGCCCGGTCTGCCTGAAAGCCGAAGTGAGAAGTGAAGTCCCAACATGGTCGAGCAGTCATGCGTCATGGGTCAGTGTAGCTTCAGGGAATCATGTATCATCATGCACATGAGCAGAACTTGAAAGCCAACCAGCCAAACAGTATCACACAGGAAAACATCCACGTTTCCTTTCCAACCAGTTAAAGGGAATGTGTCGGACAAGCCATACCAGCGACTTTTGATGACCTTGTGTGCCTGCCTGTATGGCCCAGGTCCGCATAGACCTGATGCGCGAGCGAATGGATGCGTGGGCTTCGCAGACAGGTGCGATGAAACATATATTTCGTCACATGCCTCCCAAGATGCTCTCGAGCACATTGAAGAGCTTGCAGAAAGGATTGCTCCTGGAGCACCTGGAGCAAGTGACGCCGGAGCTTCTGGTGTCGGCCGACTCAGATGCTGTTCTCCGAACCCGTAGTTGCGCCTGGACACACTGGCAGGATGCACGTGATTTGGTTCGAGAAAGTGCCTGACAGGTCCTGATCCACGAAGCCAGAGCTCCTCTCAGCTTTTACAGCAGATGCAGTAGAGTCTTCCTCCCGCGGACGACAAGAGATTCCTTGGAAAGACTTGGCATTGCCTCTCGACCACAGCACCGTAGACGATGATTCCTTGCCGCTGTAAGCCAGGTGTCTCTCTGAGTGACGGGCCGCTACTGAGTCTTGAATGGATGCCCATCTCTCTGCGCATGTCGTATGGAAAACATGCACCGTGCCAAGCATTGCAGTCTGCCGGGAGTCTGCCGACCTGAATTCAATTTCTTGAGTCGGGCATGCTCAAGTTCCGCTGGTCCTGGCTCAGCTTCTGGACACACAGTACGCGAAAAAGCTTTTTCTATTCCGCTTATCTACTGCTCGCCGAGGCTACTTCGTCGTGTGGCAGGGCAAACGACACTACTTCCGCCTGTCTTAAGCATAAACTGACCGCATGTCATTCCAAGCAGGACATGTATGTTAGAGAGCAGAGCACCATCCGTGCAGTAGGCCAGCCGGCGTCCCTGCGTAGACTCTTCTCTGAGTTGCGCAGCAAGGTGGAGCAGCACTTATTGTGTTTGATGGCTGCTGTTGTGTTCATGGATGTTTTCATTCTGATAGTGTGATGTATTATGGCATTTTCGAATGTGTCCCGGTGGCCCCCATGCTCATGCCACTGTTGTGCTGGCAAATTATTAGCCTCTTGCCCTGCTATTGCAGAGGCTGTTCATGTTGTTCCATCGCGTTGCAGGTCGGGGAAAGGGCACGGCACAATTGCAAATGCCATGAAATCAGAGAGGATTGTTCCCACCGCTCGATCAAGCAATGATACGCAACACGTCTCTGTGACGGCGTCGTGCTTCAGCTGAGTGCTTGCGTCAGTGGCGTCCTGTGCACCATTTGTGAAAGGCCTGGGGCTTTGAAGTTCAAAAACCCAAGCGAACATCATCGCAACACTTCGTGGCAGAAGAGACTTCATGCTTGAACGGGGTTGAGTTTTTGGACATTTTTTGGCATCTTGCTGCACCGACATTCAAGCTTTGCTCGACAACTTCTCAAACTCGTTCTGTGCTGCACAATGCTGCTCATGTCCGGCTGCTATGTATCATACCTTACCCTCGTTTCGTTTAATTGGTCTGGGTGATCTTCCGGCAGAATACGTCGAAAGAGTATAGCATAGTCGTTTGAGCGTAGATCCTTAGCAGTATGCATGTAACAACACACAGCTTTTGCATCCACGTGGCCATCAACGAATCCGTGCCTTCGTTCAAAAAACACATGCAGGGCATGGCCAAATCACATGGTGCTGAACATGGGTCACGTGTCAACGTGACCTGTGTGCGTGGGATGAAGGCATAAACATGCATAAATCTCCGACCGTGCCACAGAGTCCTGCAGCCCAAGCACCCAGCCGAAGCTGGCTTTTTCCTCGCCGCAATCTATCAATCTGAACGATAAGTTCCCCCGGGGGCTAATTTAATGCCTCACGCTGGCTTACAAAATCTGGTCGGACAACGCCCCCCGCTCAGAAGTTTCCGACCTTTTAAACATGATCCTTATGCTGGATCCAGCAGGACCCTACGAACATAGCATCTCCCGCATTGGGTCCTCATGTGTGCCTTCAACGATCATTTGCGAGATGTTTCGCGGAGCTTATTACAGGCCGCCACTTGCCCAAGACGCCTAATCCCAAGATGGCGGCAGAAGTGCAGAAGGAGGCTTGCATGGGTAGCGCCAGCTGCTGCAGTGGAGCAGTCCGCTGACCAGGCCAGCTCCTTCCCAAGCCTGGTGGATGTCTCAGCGTTCCAAGCATCGCAGCTCAGAAAGACTGCGCCATCACGCTTGCAGTTCGAAGCTGTAAGGCAAGCCTCTGGCCTTTTGCAAGCGATGCAGGTTCGGTATGTGTTTTAACACCGATCTCATCCGTTCCTACTACATGTGCAGCAGGCAAAGCTGCGGAGGAGACGCCGCAGGACCTAGCCGCCAGTTCCTGATCACTCGTAGCGTCATCCTTTTCGCATAGCTCATCTGGCTTGCATGCAGGCCCATGCAACTTGATCATCTGATTGGGATCATGTCTGCTGTCAGGAGCGGCCGGAGACGAGGCCTGACTTCTTTGCAGCAGGTTGTGGGTGTTTGCATTGTCTCATGTCGCCAGCACTGTGACAGAAGGAATGCCGCCGAGCCTGCGGAGGCCAGCTTGCCGAGCTGGTGATATGGGGTGGACTTGGATCATCTTTGATTACTGCAAAGTGATCCACTCCGGGATAATGCCCAGCAAAGCCTGACTTTCTTAGCAAGGGCCCGCGCAGAAGAGCTTTCAGCACAAAGGCAGGGCTTGAGTTAGACGTCACATTACGTGGAGGCGGCAGGGGAGCCATCGAGGGCCTCCACAACGCAGCTTGGACGCGCGCTCAGGCTCAGAGACTTTCGGACCACGGGCGGACGCTTTTGGGAGAATCGGCAGAATGGAAGAAGGCAGAAGACACGACGCAGGGGCCGGAGCGTAGCGCGTGGACTTCGCAGAATTTCGCAGAGAATGCACAGATTCTGAGTTCGCGTGCTTTCGCTAGCTGGAACACCATGACTCTCAACCTTGATACAGTAGGCCATGTAGCACGCTCTGCGCATCTCGGGTGCCGGATCGAGTCGGAGGCAATCAATGATCCAGTCTGCTAAAGCAAGCCTTTGTCTGTAACGTGCTTTCAGTTTCATACCAGCCAATATGGGCCATCAGAAGAACTGCAGGAATTCAGTTGACTTGGTGTCATCTCCAGACCTCCCATTTTCGGAAGAGGCTCACTACGTAAAGGTTCTTATGATGTATTCAGCCTTGGCTTTTTTGTTTCAACTGCTCTCGCAAGACTCCACGTTAGAATCCACGTTAGATTTGTTAGACAGCTCAAGGGCACCAGTCGGACTTTGGGTTTTTCGCGTCTTGAACTCGGAGTGCATTCTTCCTGGCGTAAGCTCTGGCGAGAAAGGAGGTGGTTGTAGGGGGCCCCCATCCGGTTGTGGACCAGTTGTGCTGCCTGCATGTACCGAATTCCAGACTGAACACATGATGTTCATCAATGAGGCCAGCACAAGGCCGGCGCAACATTGCGTCCACCATCTGGCTCCGATGATGCGGACAGATCTTTTGACGATGTTGCAGCATCGGGTTGTGGTTTGGTTTCAGGATGTTTCAGCCTTGTGGACATTGCATACTTCAAGCTAAGCCGCTCCCAGCTTCGGCATGCGTCATGCTGTCAAAATGTACGAGTGCTACAAGCCAAGAGCTTGGCGAAGTTGCGAAATTCAGGGACACGTGTCATTTGATGCGGGTCAATTCCGTTGGGTCTCCCAACTGTGCTCATGTCTACTGACTAGTGTTGACCAGGCATGAAAAAGGCCTTGTGCCTCTTCTGCTTGGCAAAGCAGCACCACATTTGGCAGGAAGCAGCTGGCTCACTGCCGCTGCCAACGTCTCGCTCGCGTGGCCCTCTACCCGAACATGACTGCCCTGCTACTGCTGTAAACTCTCCCCGAGATCAGGTGTCTTGTCGGTTGCATGGTACAGCCTACATGCAGTCGTGCGACACCTTCCATGCTCAGACGATACAAATGGTCTTGGCAAAGAAAATTACCGACCCACGGAGCATGGCAAAGTGACGGTGGCTTCTGCGTTTTTGTCATCTGTCTTTTGAGAGACACGTTCGACACATCTGTTCTCCAATGTCATCAGATGAGATGAGAGCGCAGCAGCACAGACCAAGGCTCCGTGAGTCTGCCATATCGTCGACACCCCAAGGGTCGCCGTCGAGCAGGTGGGCAACAGTGACACTTTTCGACTTGATGCTTACCTGCTTTGAGGCGGGCTCGAACAGGCAGGGAAAGCTCTGGCGAGGCTGGGAACCATCTGCTGCCGACAGCCTTGATTGATCTTCGCAGGGGGCGGTCCTGTGGACATTTTTGGGCATCGTAATCCAAAAGAAGTCACAAAGATCCGACCATGCGGTTGCAGACATCCCAGACATTGTCGGTGTGCGCCCGTGTGTGCTTCAATCGGAGTCGGATGCCTCATGTTGCCTTGACTCGAACTCGTCTCGCCGCGCAGCCCGGAAGCCCTGGTGCGCGGCCGGGACCTCGACATGATTGGGAGAGTTCTGCTGCTGGTGACGCACCGGAGTGCCTTGGGGTGGTTGGGTTTGCACTGATTCGCGAAGGTTTGCTCTGTTGTCGCTAGCTCTTTTGGAGAGGGATGTGCTTCCACGGAGGTTAGGAAGGTGATCCAGATATCATCCCTGTCTCGTTCCTTCAAACCGGCCCTGAGAAGCTTGCGCTCTCGGCTACAGGTTCTGTGCAGCACGAGCCTCAGTCGACGGGCAGGCGGTAGATGACGGCATGCACAGGAATTGCGCATTAGCAACTATTTCGCTTGACTCCTCACGGCATTGCGCCGCTGCAGCCACTGCGAGCATATGTACCGAGGATGCCTTCCAGTCGAATGGACCAGGTGGCCAAGGTGTCTGGGAGAGCTTTCCCGATGGCTCGTCACGTTTTGATTCCCCCGCCTACAGGCTCCTGTGCGGAACGTTGCTTCGTCACTGTGCAGGTGAAGACCGCCAAGCTGCCGCGGAAAATTCAGACTCGAAAGGCGGGGGGCAGGGAATGCCCTCTGCAGGCAGTCAGGAGTACATCCCCTTGACAGGGCAACCAGGTAGCAACACCGCCCACCATCCACTTGCCAGCCAAGCCCAACCCCCTCCCCTGTTGTACGATGTCGTTGAAGACGTACGTTACAGTGTCATTTCCCCCTTTAGCCGACGACTCCTATGGTGTTCTGTTTGTGATAAAGACATGGAAGACAACTTACACGAGATAAATATGAGCAAGCAAATGAATACATATTACATATAGATTCAATTCCTAGGAGACCAGAGCAACAGGCAGCATGCGCAGGAAGACGCATCCTGTTAGCCGCCAAAGGTGCACCACTACATTTCGTTCCAAGATCAAAACTTGAAAGATAGAGGCTGCGTGACAAAGGAGAGGGAGACGAACAGGGGAGGCAGAGCACTCAATTGATGTCCACAGTATCGACAGACCAGACCCCGCGCTGGAAGGTTTTGAAAAGAATACTTGATTCTTGGTCCTTGGTATTTTCGAAGCCATTTGGCAAAACGTGTGAAATTGAACAGTTTCGTGACAAGTTCGGACAACATGCTGTTTCTGATTCCAGCCGATGCGACATCAAGGTTTTTGCGCCAACTTTACCCAACCATAGACCCCTCACTGCCGATTGTGCATAGATGCTCCTGCAGTACCAGCACTGACGGCCTTTGCCGAGCAGCTTGCCTCTGCGACGCAGCGAGCGCCACAGAGGCCAGCACCTTGTAAGTAAGTAGGAGCAGTGTAAGGCTCAGGTGTGCAGGATTTTGGAGTGCTATGGAGTGCTGACTGTGGGCTTGATTGTGGATATGAAGCGCTTTCGGTGCCGCCTTCTGCCGCCAAGGGCAAGGTTCAGGCACTACAGCAGTCTGTCTTTGTGCAGCGTTGCCGAGTTTGCTGGACCGAGCAGTCATGTTTAGGGCTAAGATCCGGCGCGCAGGTTGGCCGAGCGGCAGCTTGTCAGCAAAGTGGCTTCACCGGGCTTCAACTACATGCAAGAAACATGGAGTGGCTGCAGGCACAGTCATTTTGTTGATGGCAGCATGGCATCTCCGGAGGCTGACAATGCAGATTACGGCTGTGTATTCAGGCTGTCTGAAGATTTGAATCAGGCCATTGAGAGCACATCTCCGTGGATAGTCGAGTAGAAGTTCACCCCCCTCATGCAACACAACTCAGGTTGACGGAGCAGCTGCAGCAGTCTTGCCTCGAAGAGGCTATTGCGCGTGCAACCGTTCACCATGTGTCTACCAATGTGAGTTTTCATATTGTTGCCAACTGATGGCTAGGAGTGAAATTAATGTTACCTCTGTGTAGACACCGTACCTTGTCAATGCTGTTGGTGTTAGCTGCTCTGTTGCATGCGCCGCCGTTTGCGACTCCGTCTGTTTGCTCCGTCGGCTTTGGTGGTCTTCAGATTTAACATGTGTGCAGAAGCAATGAGAAGTGCAGCGGCGTCTGAGCAATTCTCTTTGTGGCAGGCAGCCATGGGCCAAAGCAGCTTCACTTGGGACCCTCTGAAAGCGACATGCGAGCCTCAAGAGTTCCAGCAATGTGGCTATTGAGCAGGACATGCAGCTGCCGTCCAACAGCCGCACTTTTATGCATCAGGCACTGATCTGCTCCTCTGCTGCTCCGCTGAGAGCATTGCAAGTGCTGCTGTGAGCATTATGTACCCGTAGTAACCTCCTAACCCAAGCCCTCCATCCTGCATCCCTTCATTTTGCTTGAGTCATGGGTTGTGGTTACGTTCGTGTATTGCTTTCCAAGACAACTCCTTTCGGCGTCTGCAGATAATCGGGCCCTGGCCCCGAGACACTGTTCACAAGCCTGCCAAAGCCTTGAGCCCGGATGACCCCTTGCCATTAGCAACACTCTGCGGACTGATAGACTGCAGAACTGAATCGCGTGACGAGAGGTAGAAGTTGAGTTTGTTTAGCCAGAAAGCCATTTTGAGGAGAACATTCACAGATTGACATGCAGAGTACATGTACTTCGCAGGTTGCTCGCGCATTTGCCTCGCGGGTGGAAGCGCTGGGCTTCGAGCAAGTGGAGCCTGGCAGCCCAGTCGGACCGGACGCAAGGCGAAAACTCAATCCATTTGAGCGACATGTCATGTTGGCGCAAAGCAAAGGTGGTGGAATGGCAGGGAATGGAGCAAACAGAGCCGCCAGTCCCGCCCTTGGCTGCCCAGCGCCGGACCCTTGACCCGACACACGGACACGTACTTAGCAGGTGGAAGTAGTTGTAGTAGTATCGGTATAGTCGCAGGAGAAGTAGCAGGCGTCGTCGTAATCACTGCCGTTGCCGTATCACTAGCAGTCGTAACGGTACATCTCGTAGCAGCTGTAGCAGAGGTCGTGGGGATGATAACGGCCCTACTCTAAGGCCTTCCAGCACAGGCCGGCTCTGCCGCCACGGCCGCCACCATCACAAACAACCCTCCCTTTCACGGGCAAGCGCGAGTATGTGCGTCATGGCAAGTGCTCTGGCAGGATTTGTGTGGAATGCGGAGGGCTGCAGCTTGGGCCCCGTAGGCCCCAACTGGGCAGCTAGCATCATGATCGCCGTCGGGTCTCCATTGTGACTCATTGCTTGCAAGGCACACATGGGTTCGCATAGACTGGTATGAAGCCCCAACGCCAGATTCTCGCCCAGGGGAAGCCTGAACGTGGGCCAAGCCACACGATTCATCGAGTTATCATGAATCACCCTTTGTCTCCCAATGGGTCGACCCGACCGCATTGTCGCCACCCGACAAAACACCCTGCCGTGCTCTGTGCAGCGCGCATTCGCAGCAAAGCTTCACAGCTCTTGTGGGGTGCGTCGCACCTCTGCGAAGCACCACTGGATGGCTGGGTGCCATCAAAAACTGAGACGGCTTGTAAACGTGTCTTGGCACTTTCACGAGACGCCTGCGCTGCCCGAGGCCACGCCGGAGATTCCGCCGGAAGTTTCCGCGTTGCTGGCTAACGCGGCATTGCCACACCAAGGCTATCGTGATGCTGGCCAAGATGCCGCCGAAAACACATTCTCCGAGTCATAATGCTGGCTCAAGTTGCTCGCAAGAGGCGTCCAGGTGCCAACCGGAGTTTTGAGTTGTCCTGGCCCCGCCGCAGCATTCCCGACGCCAACCCTGGTGCGGCAAAAATGAAACTCTTCGTGGGAAAGCTGTGAACACACCCAATCCAAAAATTCATCGCCTGGTTTCAAAGTCGGCACCCCGGGCCCCGAGCCCCGGTGCTGCTGCCAGGGCAAGGGGGATCCACAGCGGCGCCCGGCCCCTGGCTAAAAGCCGACCCCAGAAATAATGAGGGTTTGAGTGTGAGGATTGTCGTAGCTGTCGCCCCCCATCGGCAACACCTAAGCCGCACAACAGCGGGGTTGGCATGGTGCCTTCTCCCTTTCCATTCTTGCAACTTGTAGAAAGGAACGTTGCCAGGAGGGGGCCTGGGGAGGCCCGCTGTCGAAGACAGGCATCTCAGAACAACAGGGGTGTTTGCGGCGAAACCAGTACTACGTATGACTAAGACGACTACTACGACTACCGTCACTCCAATACCATGACCACGAGCCCGCTACTTACTTTTTTGCCCACTCTTACTATATGCTCACTACTACTAACACCATTAATAATCATTCTGAGAAAAACAATATTAAATTAATAATCATTCTGAGAAAAACAATAATAATGCGGAGACTCCTCCATCTGGCTCTCGCTGCTGGCTGCCACTGCTGCTGCAGCTGCTGTTTCTGCTGTGTACTTGGATTAGTTCTTGGGTACTGCCAGCTGTGACATGCTACCCAATGCTCAATCCCACACAGGATCACGCAGGTTTGTCGAGATGTGTGTATTGCTTGCAGGTATCACATCGTGCACGACCCGGTGTATGAGAAGTATCACATGAAGATTAAAGTGCGGTGGCTCGAAAGGCGCCGAAGCTGCCCAACGGCCTGGTGGACTACTGTAGCCTTGCTTCCGAAGCATCCCGCTTCGAGAGGCTTCCGCAAGAGGAGGATGCCGCCGCGCCGAGGCTTCTCCTAAGTCAATGCTTCCTGGGAGCCTAGCCATTACTACATAGGAAGTCTTGGGTGGGGTTTGCAAGCACTTCGTATGAAGTCCGTGGATCAGCCATCAGTTGATCGAGTGCTTGCAGCATGGTTCATCGCTGTAGAACTGGTTGGGGCTTGTCATGTAGATTTGGGGCTTCACGCCGCAAGCTGATTGGTTGCTTTAAGGAATTTGGGTATTTGGTTGCAGAAGATGTCGTGGCTAGAGCATCTGTGTCCGGCACTGGCACAGCACAGGAGGAGTGCCTGCATCTGAGCATCACCGGTAAAAGTTTCTACGTAGGTCTCCAGAAGCCCTACATTCACTGGGAAGCAGACAGTCGCTGCTGGGTTTACTAACTCGTGTTGATGATGATGTTCCATCTCTCTGCCGGGCGGCTCCCTTTCGCCTGTGTCGATACTCACGAAAGCAAGTTCCTTGCTGGAGGTTCGCAAAGGGGCATGTTTGTACGGTACAAGAGAACGCCAGTTCACTTTGAAAGCTCCTGTCCTTCCTCGGCCAAGCTGCCCAGCTTTGTAAACCCTGGACCATCTTGAGCTTTTCCGTCCGTCCATTTGTCTGTTTGTTACTCATGTATGTGTGTGTGTGTGTGTGTGTGTGTGTTTGGCCTTTGGTGTCTCTGCACCCGCCTGTGTCAGTCTCTCTCTCTCTTTCTGTCTGCTGTCTCCGTCTCAGCCTGTATGCATGCGCGTGTATGTCTGTGTGTTTGTCTCGCACTCGCTCTCACGATCAATTTTGCTGCCTCTGTGTCTCTGTCTCTCTCTCTCTCTCTCTCTCTCTCTCTCTCTCCATGCCTGGCACACCCCGCCCTGTCTCTCCCGATCTTCGCAAGATGAGCTCGGTCCGGGCAGGGGTAAGCGACGTGCATCGACGCGAGCACCAAGGAAAATGCTTATATGTACAAACGACCTTGCCGAGTTTGGTGCATGTGCTGCTTGGGTGAGTAAAGGGGCGACTGCATTACAACTCTGACATCAGCTTCAAGTCCTTGGTCACACCGTTTCCTGAAAACGATGAGCCGGGCTCGCTCATTCACATCATGTCGACTTTAACAAGGGCAAGAGGATTGCTGTGGGCTCGGTTTGATTTCGAGCCTTAGCTTCGTTGCAGGCGTCAGATAACTCCTCAGCCTGGTTTTACAGCTCCGAGTCCTGACCTCAGGGGTCGCGGTATCGCTCGTCTGGACGGTTATTTGCAGAATTTTGCAGATATGGACCATTACAGTGACATTCAGCAGCGCTTGTTGATAATGTGTTCTGCATCTGCCATCTCCCCGGCAGGTCGTACCCTTACCCGCTCTTGGAAGCCCACAGAACCACAATCGACGGTCCCCGGCTTCAGGCTAAAGAAGGTCAAGAGCTCCTCTGCACAACTGCTTGTTGACTCGACTGTGAGATGTTTCTATTCGTCGGCAGCCCTGTAAATATAGCACAAGCCGCTTGATGAGTGCTGAGAGTTGATCCGGGCACCTCCATCTGCTTGACATATGCAACATCTTTTGCTGCATGCTGCAGGTGCTGAGCAAGCCGTGGTCGAACAGGTGTCAAATTGGTTGGAAATGCAGAGGCCAGGAATCTCACGCAGTAACAGGCTCACCCGGGCTAGCAGCACCACAAGCATCTGCACGATTTTCCGTTGAAGGCAAGCGCACCAGCCAAAGCAAGCGAAATTTGGATGACTTCAACCACGTATAAGAAGCTGAAGCCATCGCATGTCCTGTTGCCCTGGCCGTAAGCGCAGCCTGGCAGCCTGCATTGCATCTTGCCGTGCAGGCAGATGCTGGAGCAGCAGCTTGGAATTCACCCTGCCGACGATACCCAAGAAAGCAGAGAATGTCTGAAGGCACTGCGATGATAATCATCAAACTTGACAAATGAGTCTGCGTCACGTGTGGAAACGCCGTTGGTCCAGCAGAGTTGCTGTAACAAGGTGCAGGGTCGTGAAAAGCCTGCGCTGACACTTATTGCCTTGGCAGGCTCCGCCCGGCACCCAAAGTACGACTTCCACTCTTTGACGACATCGTTTTGGCCGCTGCCAAAAACTTCTCAGAATATTGGAAGAATTCATTGTGAATCGACTCCTATTTCAAATAGTGGCAACGAACCTATGCTCGGATGCATTGATTGTCGATACTGTGAACTGGCGGTCAAGGCGTGAGATAAGATCGCCCGTTCGCCACAATCGGGAAGGTGTTCTCTACCCTCCCAAAATGTAATTCAAAAATAGTATAAATCATA